AAACCAGGACTAAACCAGGACTAAAACTAAACAGGACTCTAAAACCAGGACTAAACCAGGTAAACTAAACCAGGACTAAACCAGGTCTAAACCAGGTCTAAACCAGGTCTAAACCAGGACTAAACCAGGACTAAACCAGGACTAAACCAGGTCTAAACCAGGTCTAAAACCAGGACTAAAACCAGGAAAACCAGGTAAACCAGGACTAAACCAGAACTAAACCAGGTCTAAACCAGGTCTAAACCACCCAGGACTAAACCAGGACTAAACCAGGTCTAAACCAGGTCTAAACCAGGTCTAAACCAGGACTAAACCAGGTCTAAACCAGGAACTAAACCAGACTAAACCAGGTCTAAACCAGGTCTAAACCAGGTCTAAACCAGGACTAAACCAGGTCTAAACCAGGACTAAACCAGGACTAAACCAGGACTAAACCAGGTCTATATGAGTATATATGATGTTGTACGTGCACGTACACGCACGCGCCTCACTGGAGACAATAATAATAATAATAATTACGTCACTTCTAATGATTAAACCCGTTAAACCTGCGGCTCCGGGGACAGACCCGGAGCTGCTGCAGGACCCGGGGGAGCAGCTCCGGGTCACGGAGCCTCCGGTGCCTCCTGTTCGTCCCGATGCGCAGCGCGGTTATAAACTGGACATGAGCGCGGCGCGGCGCGGCACGGTCCGTTATTCTGATCTTTACGCGCTCTTTTCCTCTGAGCAGCACTTTGTGACGTATGTCTGTGAACAGCGATATAAAACCCTCTGTGCTCCCTTCATAAACTGTACATATAAATATAAATATAAAGTACACAGTACAAATATAAAGTACACAGTATAAATATAAAGTACACAGTACAAATATAAAGTACACAGTACAAATATAAAGTACACAGTATAAATATAATTCAGTTTAAGGTTCATGTCCTGGTTTTGTAGCGGAAAGTCCCGCACAAACTCGTTTTCTCACCACACCCTCTGTTATTCTTTTATCTTAGACTTTAAGTTTTACCGTAAAACAGCAGCAGCGCCGCCGCACTCCACTGCGCCATGTCCCTCACGCACTGCGGTGAACTCACGGCTCCACTCGGGATCTGGACCTGGTCTGGATCTGGATCTGGTCTGGATCCTGGTCTGGTCTGGTTGTGCGTGTTTCTTCTTCACGGAAGTGCGCGCCTCGCCCTGATCACGTGACTCTGAGTCCTCGTCTGACCTCTTCCTGTAGTGACGTCACACAGACACGAGGGGCGCTGTTCTGCACGTTCACTATGAAGAATAATGAGATATTATTATTCATGTGTTTATTGTATTTTTCATTACAGCTCATTTCATCTCTTCATGATCAGACACATAGATGTTGTCAAATGCTTTGAGCTTTTAATTCATTTAGAATTAATAATCCTTCGAATAGAATCGGTCTGTTAACCTTCTGATTTGACCCAGTCTCCTTCACTGAAACAGTCCAAGTCGTTTGTTGTATTTGTCGTGTCTGCGGCCGGTGTTGATCAGTCGTTTATTGTTTGTCACCTTCAGCTCCAACAATGTTCACAAATAAACGTAGACTTAGACAAACTTTATTGATCCACAGAGAAATGATTTGGACACAGGAGTCACACATCACAATAGAACAGAAAAACAAACAACAACAATGTAAATGGATCTAATAAATTCTAAATAAACAGCAAAAAAGAACAAGAGACTGGAGTTAAATAAAACATAATTATATAAATGTAAATGTGCAAGTACAAATAAAATATAGAAATACAGTAATACAAATATATCTGGGCTTTGTACATGAGGGTCATGGTGTTGAAGCACAGAGAGAATCCAGTGGCCTTTGCTGTGATCATTTTCCTTTGACAATTATTAAATAGGATTTTATTAGGATTGTGACACCAGTTGATCTCGATGCACCATAAGAAAAACAAATCATTTTATCCCCTTTGAATGTTTGAATGTTGAAAGTTTTGTGAAGTAGAATCAGCGGTGCTTCTGCACTTTTACACTTTCAAAATAAAATCTTTCTTTTAACACCTTTACACCTCCAGGAAAGATCTTTATCACAACGGCCAGAAGTGACACAATGTCAAGAAAACACCACGTCACACACACATTTACACACACACACACACACACACATTTACACACACACATTTACACACACACACATTTACACACACACATTTACACACACACATTTACATACACACACACATTTACACACACATTTACACACAAATACACACACATTTACACACACATTTACACACACATTTACACACATTTACACACACATTTACACACACACACACACACACACACACACACACACACACACACACATTTACACACACACATTTACACACATATTACACACAACATTTACACACATTTACACACACATTTACACACACACATTTACACACACATTTACACACATTTACAAACACACATTTACACACATTTACACACACACATTTACACACACATTACACACACACACACACACACACACACACACACACACATTTACACACACACATTTACACACACATTTACACACACATTTACACACATATTTACACACACATTTACACACATATTTACACACATATTTACACACACACACATTTACACACATATTTACACACACACATTTACACACATTTACACACACATTTACACACACATTTACACACACACACACACATTTACACACACATTTACACACACACATTTACACACATTTACACACACATTTACACACACACAAATTTACACACACACACATTTTACACACACACATTTACACACACACATTTACACACACACACATTTACACACACACATTTTACACACACACATTTACACACACACATTTACACACACATTTAACACACACAATTTACACACACATTTACACACACACATTTACACACACACTTACACACACACATTTACACACATTACACACACAATTTACACACACATTTACACACACATTTACACACACACACATTTACACACACATTTACACACACACATATTTACACACACACATTTACACACACACATTTACACACACACATCACACAACATTACACACACACACACACACATTACACACACATTTACACACACATTTACACACACACACATTTACACACATTTACACACACATTTACACACACACACACACAATTTACACACACACACATTTACACACACATTTACACACACACACATTTACACACACATTTACACACACACACACATTTACACACACACACACACACACATTTACACACACACACACACACACACACACACACATTTACACACACACATTTACACACACACATTTACACACACACACACACACACATTTACACACACATTTACACACACACACATTTACACACACACATTTACACACACACACACACACACACATTTACACACACACATTTACACACACATTTACACACATTTACACACACACACACACATTTACACACACACATTTACACACACACACACACACACATTTACACACACACACACACAATTTACACACACACACACACACACACACACATTTACACACACACACACATTTACACACACACATTACACACACACACACACATTTACACACACATTTACACACACATTACAGACACATTTACACACACATTTACACACACACACACACACACATTTACACACACACATTTACACACACACATTTACACACACACACACACACACATTTACACACACATTTACACACACACACACACATTTACACGCACACATTTACACACACACACACACACATTTATACACACACATTTACACACACACACATTTACACACACATTTACACACACACACACACACAACACATTACACACACAGTTTACACACACACATTTACACACACATTTACACACACATTACACACACACATTTACACACACATTACACACACACACACACACACACACACACACACACATTTACACACACACATTTACACACACACATTTACACACACATTTACACACACACACACACATTTACACACACACACATTTACACACACACACACACATTTACAAACACATTTACACACACACACACACACTTTACACACACACACATTTACACACACACACACACACATTTACACACAATTACACACACATACACACACATTTACACACACATTTACACACACATTTACACACATTTAAACACACACATTTACACACACATATTTACACACACACATTTACACACACATTTACACACACATTTACACACAATTTACACACACACACATTTACACACACACATTTACACACATTTACACACACACACACATTTACACACACACTTTACACACACATTTACACAGAAAAACATTAACCGGAAGTTCCACAAACCTACAGTGCAGGACTTTGGATGATGTGGAAAAAGGTCGATTCAAAGTTAAGATTTTTCAAGACAAGAAGAGTTTCATACACATATACACACATCTGAGTCATGTTCCAGGGTCATGTTCTGGAGTCATGTTCTGGAGGTCATGTTCTAAGGTCATGTTCTGGGGTCATGTTCTAAGGTCATGTTCTAAGGTCATGTTCTGGAGTCATGTTCTGGAGTCATGTTCTGGAGTCATGTTCTGGAGTCATGTTCTAAGGTCATGTTCTAAGGTCATGTTCTGGAGTCATGTTCTGGAGTCATGTTCTGGAGTCATGTTCTAAGGTCATGTTCTAAGGTCATGTTCTGGAATCATGTTCTGGAATCATCTGGAGTCATGTTCTGAGTTCTGGAGTTCATGTTCTGGAGTCATGTTCTAAGGTCATGTTCTAAGGTCATGTTCTGGAGTCATGTTCTGTCATGTTCTAAGGTCATGTTCTGGAGTCATGTTCTGAGGTCATGTTCTGGAGTCATGTTCTGGAGTCATGTTCTGAGGTCATGTTCTGGAGTCATGTTCTAGAGTCATGTTCTGGAGTCATGTTCTGAGGTCATGTTCTAGAGGTCATGTTCTAGAGTCATGTTCTGAGGTCATGTTCTAGAGTCATGTTCTAGAGTCATGTTCTGAGGTCATGTTCTAGAGTCATGTTCTAGAGTCATGTTCTGGAGTCATGTTCTGGAGTCATGTTCTGGAGTCATGTTCTGGAGTCATGTTCTAAGGTCATGTTCTGGAGTCATGTTCTAGAGTCATGTTCTGGAGTCATGTTCATGTTCTAGAGTCATGTTCTAGAGTCATGTTCTGGGGTCATGTTCTAGGAGTCATGTTCTAGAGTCATGTTCTGGGGTCATGTTCTCTCAGTGAGGGTCCATATGAGCTCCTCCAGAACCTCTGGTCCTGACGCTGGAATAAACCACATCTGGGTCGGACCACGGACCTGAGGAGAGACAGAGGGAGAGAAAGAAGGAGAAGGGTTAAAGAGACCTTCTGAACAGATAAATAAAGTGACTGACTGAGAGAGAGAGAGAGAGGGAGGAGAGAGGGAGGAAGAGAGGGAGGGAGAGGTGGAGAGGTAGAAGAGTTTTACCGTTGGGATCTTCTCTCTTTCTCTTCTTCTTCTTGTCGTTGGGTTTGATGGTCACTTCTCCGTAGGTCACCTCCTCTGGTCCTGTACACAACTCAGGTCACTACAGGTCAAAGGTCACGACTCTTTAACTCAAACCTCGTCGCCTGGATGATTCCATGGAAACAGAAAGTTAAAATCATACTACGGAACATTCTCCATGGAGACAGATATACGTTCAATGCCACACTATGTAAGAGGCCTTCCTCCAAGCCAAGTAAGAGTCGGGTTTGTGGAGGTATGAGCTTGCCCAGAGTAAGGGTGCTGTTTTTTCAGATCTTTTCCCAGTTTGTGGAGGCCCCTGGACTTGGCTGTGGTCTGCTGGAGCAGCTCCAGGAAAAGGGACAATGGACGAATCCACAAACTGATAATACTCCCTACAACTGGACAACTCACCCTTATGTCACAGATAATACTCCCTACAACTGAACAACAACTCACCTTTATGTAACAGATAATACTCCCTACAACTGAACAACATCTCAACCTTATGTCACAGATAATACTCCCTACAACTGAACAACATCTCAACCTTATGTCACAGATAATACTCCCTACAACAGTAAAACTCACTCTTATGTAACGAATAATACTCCCTACAACTGTACAACTCACCCTTATGTAACAGATAATACTCCCTACAACTGAACAACATCTCAACCTTATGTCACAGATAATACTCCCTACAACTGAACAACATCTCAACCTTATGTCACAGATAATACTCCCTACAACTGAACAACAACTCACCTTATGGAACAGATAATACTCCCTACAACTGTACGACAACTGACCTTATGTCACAGATAATGCTCCCCTACAACTGTACAACTCGCTCTTATGTCACAGATAATACTCCCTACAACTGTACAACAACTCACCCTTATGTAACAGATAATACTCCCTACAACATCATTTTATCTGCATCTTTTACAGCCTCTTGTTTATAGCTGAGATATATGTATTTGTATTGCTATTTTTCTATTTTATTTTGACTTGTACATTTACATTTGTATAATTATGTCTCTTCTTCTTTGCTACTTATTTAGTATTTATTATCACATTTATATTTTTTTCTCTTTGTTTTTAATGTTATATTGTGGTGTGTGACTCCTGTGTCCAAATCATTTCCTTGTGGATCAGTAAAGTTTGTCTAAGTCTACGTTAACAGAAACATACAAAATGAAAAGAATTCTTTCAGTACATTTTTGACTAAAAAGTTACATAGTGAAGCTTTAAGTAAAAAGAGACTGAACCTTTGGGGCGAGTCTTGACTCCAGAGTAAACAGTCTCCTCCTCATGACGACCAGGAGGAGGCGCTGCAACAAGGAACACGACACCGTCACACACACCAACAGAAGGAGAAACCCTAACAGTAAAACTCCTGTATCACACAGACTGACCCCTCTGAGCTTTAGGACCTTTTCTAATGTTCCTCCTCATAAGCTCCAAATGCTCTGTTCCACCTTGTGATGTCATGAAGTGGTAGTTTAAGTGAACAGCTCCTTTTCCCTTTAGTTCAGTCGAGATCAGTAAAGAAACTCCAGGACTGAAATGATCCAGGTGATTCTAGTGAAGGTGTGCGGAGTTTAAAAACACAGTGGAGAACTTCCTGTATCACCACATGATGACATCACAAGGTGGAACAGAGTGTTTTCAGTCTGAGAGAAGAACTCAGCCTAAATCTGCAGGGTTTGTGTGTTAAACATGTGAATGAAATGTAATTCTTGGATTTGTCAGGTCAGATTTCAGTCTTTTGTCGATTCTTCTGGACATGTTTGAAATGTGAACTTTGAACAGGATTTTATTTTTAAAACAGAAAATTAAAAAGACATTTTTTTGTAAAGCCCAAAGGGGGCGCTCTCACCTCTCTCCGCTCTCCTCACAGTGACGTCAGCGTACGTCACATCCACAGACTCCGGGTCAGAACCTGAAAACAAGAACCAGAACTCAGACCAAAGAACCTGGTTCAGATCCACCTAGAGCCTCCTCAGATCCTCCACTAGACCAGATCCTCCTCTAGACCAGTTTAGATCCTCCTCTAGACCAGTTTAGATCCTCCTCTAGACCAGTTTAGATCCTCCTCTAGACCAGTTTAGATCCTCCTCTAGACTTGTTCAGAGAAAATGACTTGTGCAAAACTGGTACTAAACTAAGACTTGTAAAAACAAAACTAGACCAGGAAATCACCTAAAGACAAAACCGACAAAACAACGAGACAAAATCTACATCAAACCAGAACCAAACCAGAACTGAACCAGGTTTAAACCAGGATTTAACCAGATCTATACCAGGACCAGGGCCTGTAGATCAATTGTGTTCAGTAAAACTAATCTAAATGCTTGTACAGCAGTTTTCATGTAAACACACTCTCCTGCAGACGCACAGTCCAGACCGAGTTTGGGTGAGTTGGGTTTTATTATCACCTTCCTGTTCTCTGTACCAGTGGGTCACAGCCTTTTCTCACAGCGCCCCCTGTTGTACCCTTTGATTTGTCCCTTCTGATACGATACTGTACTGTAATGGAAAATATATTTATTTCCTGGTGAATAAATATGAACTAGAACAATAATGATTATAAAACACTTTATAAAAAGGAGCACCTTGCTTTCATTAAAATTCACATCATCTCGTTTGAATCCCTGAGGACCCGCTGAAAATCTTTGGGGACCCAAATTTGGATCCTGACCCCAATGTTGGGAATAACTGCCCTATAATACGGAGCCCCACAGGGGCTGTGGGGTGAGGCTTAAATAAAAAGAATCCCAAGAAATTATCATGTGATCCTGTAAAAAGTATCGTGTGAATCCTGTGAAAGTTTCTTACATTAAATGAATGATGAGGTACACAGGGAAACAGAGAGCGTCATAACTGTCCCGGTGCAGGTTCTAGTGTCTTTATGTCCCGGTACAGGTTCTAGTGTCTTTATGTCCCGGTACAGGTTCTAGTGTCTTTATGTCCCGGTACAGGTTCTATTGTCTTTCTGTCCCGGTACAGGTTCTAGTTCTAGTGTCTTTCTGTCCCGTACAGGTTCTAGTGTCTTTCTGTCCCGGTTCTAGTGTCTTTCTGTCCCGGTACAGGTTCTGGTGTCTTGTCCCGGTACAGTTCTGGTGTCTTAGTGGTCAGGTTCTGGTCTTGTCTTTATGTTCCCGGTACAGGTTCTAGTGTCTTAGTGTCTTTCTGTCCCGGTACAGTTTCTGTCTTTCTGTCCCGGTACAGGTTCTGGTGTCTTTATGTCCCGGTACAGGTTCTAGTGTCTTTAGTCCCGTACAGTTCCTGTCTTTATGTCCCGGTACAGGTTCTAGTGTCTTTATGTGTCCGGTACAGGTTCTGTCTAGTGTCTTTAGTCCCGGTACAGGTTCTAGTGTCTTTCTGTCCCGGTACAGGTTCTAGTGTCTTTCTGTCTTTCTGGTCCTACAGGTTCTGGTGTCTTTATGTCCCGGTACAGGTTCTAGTGTCTTTATGTCCCGGTACAGGTTCTAGTGTCTTTATGTCCCGGTACAGGTTCTAGTGTCTTTATGTCCCGGTACAGGTTCTGGTGTCTTTATGTCCCGGTACAGGTTCTGGTGTCTTTCTGTCCCGGTACAGGTTCTAGTGTCTTTCATGTCCCGGTACAGGTTCTAGTGTCTTTATGTCCCGGTACAGGTTCTGGTGTCTTTCTGTCCCGGTACAGGTTCTGGTGTCTTTCTGTCCCGGTACAGGTTCTGGTGTCTTTCTGTCCCGGTACAGGTTCTGGTGTCTTTCTGTCCCGGTACAGGTTCTGGTGTCTTTCTGTCCCGGTTACAGGTTCTAGTGTCTTTCTGTGTCTTTTCCGGTACAGTTTCTAGTGTCTTTATGTCCCGGTACAGGTTCTAGTGTCTTTATGTCCCGGGTACAGGTTCTAGTGTCTTTCTGTCCCGGTACAGGTTCTAGTGTGTCTTTCTGTCCCGCGGTTACAGGTTCTGGTGTCTTTCTTGTCCCGGTACAGGTTCTAGTGTCTTTCTGTCCCGGTACAGTTCTGGTGTCTTTATGTCCCGGTACAGGTTCTGGTGTTCTGTTCCGGTACAGTTCTAGTCTTTATGTCCCGGTACAGGTTCTAGTGTCTTTATGTCCCGGTACAGGTTCTAGTGTCTTTATGTCCCGGTACAGGTTCTAGTGTCTTTATGTCCCGGTACAGTTCTAGTGTCTTTATGTCCCGGTACAGGTTCTAGTGTCTTTCTGTCCCGGTACAGGTTCTAGTGTCTTTTCTGTCCCGGTACAGGTTCTAGTGTCTTTCTGTCCCGGTACAGGTTCTAGTGTCTTTATGTCCCGGTACAGGTTCTAGTGTCTTTATGTCCCGGTACAGGTTCTAGGTCCCGGTACAGTTCTAGTGTCTTTATGTCCGTACAGGTTCTAGTGTCTTTATGTCCCGGTACAGGTTCTAGTGTCTTTATGTCCCGGTACAGGTTCTAGTGTCTTTATGTCCCGGTACAGGTTCTAGTGTCTTTATGTCCCGGTACAGGTTCTAGTGTCTTTCTGTCCCGGTACAGGTTCTAGTGTCTTTCTGTCCCGGTACAGGTTCTAGTGTCTTTATGTCCCGGTACAGGTTCTAGTGTCTTTATGTCCCGGTACAGGTTCTAGTGTCTTTCTGTCCCGGTACAGGTTCTAGTGTCTTTCTGTCCCGGTACAGGTTCTAGTGTCTTTATGTCCCGGTACAGGTTCTAGTGTCTTTATGTCCCGGTACAGGTTCTAGTGCTCGGTCTGTTGCTTTTTGTAGGAGGAGCACTAAACTTTCACAGGGTTCAATCCTCGGGGATAGTTTCTCAGAATGGCGGGATAATTTCTTGGGATTCTTTTTATTTAAACCTTCACCCCACAGCCCGTGTGGGGCTCCGTATTAAACTGTAAAAGGAGAGACCCTGTACTTATCGTGTAATAAACACAACACTGTGCTGTAAAAGCAGGTTTAATATGGACTTGGTCCTGGTCTAGTCCACATTTCCAGGGCTAGTCCTGGTTAGTCCAGGTTTGGTTCCAGGGCTAGTCCTGGTTTAGTCCAGGTTTGGTTCCAGGTTTAGTCCTGGTTTAGTCCAGGTTTGGTTCCAGTCCTGGTTTAGTCCAGGTTTTCAGGTTTAGTCCTGTTTAGTCCAGGTTTGGTTCCAGGGTTAGTCCTGGTTTAGTCCAGGTTTGGTTTCCAGGTTAGTCCTGGTTTAGTCCAGGTTTGGTTTCCAGGGCTAGTCCTGGTTTAGTCCAGGTTTGGTTCCAGGTTTAGTCCTGGTTTAGTCCAGGTTTGGTTCCAGGGTTAGTCCTGGTTTAGTCCAGGTTTGGTTCCAGGGTTAGTCCTGGTTTAGTCCAGGTTTGGTTCCAGGGTTAGTCCTGGTTTAGTCCAGGTTTGGTTCCAGGGTTAGTCCTGGTCTAGTCCAGGTTTTGATATGTTGTAAGTGCACATTTATATCAAACTGTAAACCTCTGTGTTAGTGGGCGTGTGCTGTATCACTGAGTCGCTGCTCATGATTCAGAGTTTGACAGTTATTACATTATTATTACATTATTATTACATTATTACATTTTGGTGTCACTAATATTTTGTTATAATATAATGTAAGTGTTGTAAAATAACGAGTATTTGTCTGAAAATAGTTGTTTTGTTTGTTTTTACATCTGTACGTCCTTTAACCACACGGGTTTGAGCCACAGCAAAAGAAAAACAGATTTCCATAAAAGAATGGACCAGGCCCAGTGTGAGCGCAGCTCAGGACCACAGACTAAAAACTGGACTAAGTGAGTGTGACGTCACCACAGCAGCTCCAGGCAAATGAAGCTCATCAAGGCCAGAAGTTACAGGGCGACTTTGGAGCCAGGACCATGTTAGGAATTTATTTAGGGTCAAAATAGAGAAATATGTATTAACTCCAAAATGGCGAGTTAATACAAACATTTAAGACCAAAATGATGAGGCTCACAGCTCAGTTACAAAGAGAGGAGCCATAATTATGTAAAGTGAATCAGAGCCGGAGTCCATGGAGCCAAATCATGCCCACGCTCACTTCCAGAACGCACGGCTAACAGGTTAACTATGTCCATTTATAAATACAGTCTAGTTTTGAGCGAGAGAGGCCTGAATGATGATGTAAATATGACTCAGGGACAGTTCAGTCTGTGTGGTTCAATACACCGAGCAAAACAGAAACTGGAAACAAATACAGGAAAATACCAAAGAATATCTGTGGCATTTATTTGTTTAAATCATTTAACAGACCAGGCCTTTATTTGAGACCAGGCAGCAGTTTGGGGCAGGAGATTAATTCCTTCCTCACAAAAATTTTGCTCAACAAAACTGGGACAATATGGAACTTAAATTCTTTGAACCAGTCTGACTATAATTTAGTTCAGTTTTTCTACGATGTCCTGGTGACTCCTTTGACCTGAAGTCAAACTGCTCCTGTCGCTCTAAACATCAGGTTTTCTGTGGTGTCGCTGCACTAATCATCACATCTTGGTTAAAAAGCACAAAAAACAGGACCTGAGAACCACTGCTGGGGGCGTCGGTATAAGTGACTTTCTATACAGACGTGGGCTGCTTCATTTGAAATGTTACAACTAAATCTATCTACAGAGCGGAGAGTTTCCCCACATTTAAAAGCGACTCCTGAATTACAGAAAGTCATTAAAACCCTCTCAAAACATGCAGACATTTCTTTAGCAAGTTAAAACCAATGACAGATGCAGCAAGTGTGGAGCAGCAGAGTGAAAACGTGAGAGACAACGCCAGCATCAGTCCTGTGTCCTGTTGTTCTTTGATTTAAAAAAATACATTAGACTCTGTGTTTATTTGGAACCGGTGGTTATTTATCAAAATATACACCTGCGCCTGGCGTTTAAAGGAGACCCGGCGGTTCACTGAAACCCTGTGCAACCAGGGTTAAATCTGATCCGTTAGATCAAAGATCCAACCCAGGTTGTCACCACTCACTACTCCACCCAGTTCACCAATTATCCAATCACAATGTGGCAGACTGAGTATAAGAAGATCCCTGACGTCTCACTCCTCAGTCGTGTGGGAGAGAAGCCAGAGGACAGAGCTTGAACCAGACCTTTTCTTGGGACATTGTCATGTGTGCTGGGGATTTGAACTCAACTAAACTGGTCAGGTGCCAAAATACTGGGTCAAACACGATGGTGAGTTGTGGAAAAAAATCTCCAGTCTGATAGGAGCCCAACAGCCGGTCCCTTCCACTCTCCCACCAACTCGACTGGTGGGCGGGAACAGGACTGAAAATTCTGTCCTGCGCAGACCTCGACCTCACATCAAGTATTTACAAATAATACAGTTATTACACAGTTATTACACAGTTATTACATAGTTATTACACAGTTATTACACAGTTATTACATAGTTATTACATAGTTATTACATAGTAATAAGGAAACACTGACTATTATTTATTTTATAATATTACTATTATTTTACGTTAGGTGTGTTAGTCTCAGTGAGGTTATCTCCACCCCTCACACAAAATGTCTTCACTCTAAACCTTTTGTCCAGTGACAAAATCGTTTATTCTGTGGTTTGGTTCTTTGGTTCATTACATAAAACTCTAAATGATTAAAAGTTTTTAATGTAACGTGGCTGTTCAGACCTGTTTGAGTCCGACGACGTCTGAGGAAAACCAGGACCAGACCCAGGACCAGACCGAACAGAACCAGACCTCCCAGAGCACCGAGCAGAACCACAGTGAAACCAGCGGGAGTGTTTTCACGCTCTGAAGAAGACACAGGAGAAGAAGTAGAAGACGAGGAGCTAGGAGACAAAAACTAGGAGACGAGGTGCTAGGAGCGACTGTGGTTGGCTCTGAAAAAGAGAAGTTATCATCTGGTTTAAAAAGTGACGTCACCACATTTGAGGTTCTACAGTCAGACCCGAGACAGAACCGACTCTTAAAGGTCCAGACCACAGACTGAGTCCAGCTCCAAGTGAAGCTCATCGAGGCCAGCAGTTACAGTGGCTAATTTTGATCCATTTTTAATATTTGGGAATCAGTGCATCATAGAAACCAAAGAGCCAATCAGGAGCGAGGCTGTTGAAGGTACACGCCCCTTTTCCTCCACGCTTGATTGATCTGTTATTAATGTTCATTGTTCCTCTCCCCTGACTCCGCCCCTCTCCTCTGACTCCGCCCCTCTCCTCACCTGTGACTCGGAGGCTCCTCCTCTCTGACTCCGCCCCTGTCGTCTGGTCTTTACAGGTGTATTCTCCTTCATGTTCCTTGGACACGGTGAAGCTCCAGTCTGACCCACTGTGGACCACAGAACCATCTTTCACCAGAACCGGACTCAGACCAGACCTGGTCCTGGTCCGACAGCGGAGTGTGATGTCACTTCCTGCTGTTACAGGAAGTGCAGGACCGTCCAGGATCAGGAGTCTGTCTGAAGAGAGAGAGTCAGAGTCAGAGACACAGAGTTGTGGTGTGAAATGGGGGGAGAGAGGGGAGAGACATTCAGTAAACAGTCACGGTCAGGAGGTGAAAAATATGAACTTTTTCAGCTTTAAATGTGTGAAATGTGTTTGTGATTCACTCCAAAGCTCCTGAAAGAAACGTCCATGTGCCTGGAACTACAGGCCAGTGCTCCAAGGACACGACAGGATTCATCTGTGGAGCTGGAATCACGTGACGAGTTCACGACAGATGAGACGAACGAGGAGACGCCAAAACAGCAGACAGACGCCACAGTGGTGTGTCACTTTGAGCAGCCCTGCACCAGAGGCTGTCCTATACATCTGTTATGTCACACATCATGTACATGAGACCAGAAGAGTCTCAAACTCCCCCTACAGGCCACAGTGGGTATAGCTGCTACAGCTCTCACCCACTAACCCACAGGTTGGAGGTTTGATTCCCGCTATGCCTGTCCTTGATGATCCTTGTGCCTCCAGGCCCAATGGAGGGAATGTGTGGACTATGTGTATAAATGTATAAATGTAGAGTTACCTGTGACAGAGAGGGGGCGCTGTGGGCCCCTGAGTCCAGCTGCAGACTCACACCAGTACAATCCAGAAGCAGAGGAGGGGGAGGGGTTAAAAATAACACATCTGGACTCACTGATGAAACCAAAGTCCTTATTTCTCCCACAGGACTGGACCTGGTCAGACCCAGTCCTGTTCCTCTTCACAGACCACTGCTCCTCACACGTCAGAGAGATGATCTCTCCACTCAAGAACTGGTCTGAGTCTGGCTCCACCTTCAGGAGCCCAGGACTTTCTGAGGACCACAGGAGAACATTAGACCCTGAACACGTCCAAACTGATCCTCTCCTCACACAGACGCAGATCTGACTCCACCTGAGGAGCTGCACTGACTTTTGTTTGAAAGTTTATGTGAATCTTTTATTTTTCTGCTCAATGTTTTAAACAAACCCCCAGGACTAAACCAGGACTAAACCAGGATTAAACCAGGTCCTAAACCAGGTCTAAACCTGGTCTAAACCAGGTCTAAACCTGGTCTAAGTTTAGTGGGCAGTGTGAGAGGGAAAGAGGAAGGAAATATTATTAAAACTGGTGTAAAAGCAGAAGTCAAGTTTGGACCAAGTCTGCTCCTTATATGGTCAACGTCTAAGAACAGGAAGTGACCGAAAACACCAAAACTCCACCTGTGACCTGTGACCTGTGACCTGTGACCTGTGACCTGTGACCTGTGACCTGTGACCTGTGACCTGTGACCTGAGGTGTCGTCTCTAGAAGAAGACTCTGGTGTTTTGTTTGTTCTGGTGTTTGTTTGTTTGTTCTGGTGTTTGTTTGTTTGTTTGTTCTGGTGTTTGTTTGTTTGTTCTGGTGTTTGTTTGTTTGTTCTGTCTCCACACTGATGTCACTCGTGTAACGTCGGCCCACGTCACACTGAAGCTTTTATCAAATGAAATATAAAATATAAAATATAAAATATTGTTGATGGATTTTAGCTCAACATTTATTCCAGTTTTATGGAGCAGCTGCTGAAGAATCTGTTGGAACGAGGTTTTAACCTCATATTATTAGGATTTGTTTTTTTATTCTCTCTCTTTCTGTTGCAGAGCTTGAGTGTGGCAGGGGGCGTGGCTTCTTCAGGGGGCGTGGCTTCTTCAGGGGGCGTGGCTTCTTCCAGAGCAGATGAGACACACCTGTAATCAATTCCTTCATCAGCCTCTGTATTTAGCCCTGCTCTTCTCACCACCACTTTGCCTGATATTTCTGTCCTGTTCAGCAGCGTCTTTCAGGTTCTTGGATATTTACCTGTTTTGTTTGTTGTTTGTTTTAGACTCACCTGTTCCTGTTTTCACCCAGGTGTCTCTGTGGTCGTCTGCTGTTGCCTCTGGAGAAGTCGGCCAGTTCCCTGCCTCCTCAGCCTGACTTCTGTTTGGAAAATAAACTGTTTAAAACTTGACTGAGTCCTGGCTCTGCTTTGGGGTCTTGCCAAACCTTAACACTTATGATTCATTATATTATATGATCATATTATTTATTATATTATATGATCATATTATTTATTATATTATATGATCATATTATTTATTATATTATATGATCATATTATTTATTATATTATATGATCATATTATTTATTATATTATATGATCATATTATTTATTATATTATATGATCATGTTCATGTTCTGAAGTGTTACTGGTCGTTTTTCACATGTCGACTGTTAACGCTGGTTCAACTGTCACACATTCAGAGTGTGTGCGCTGGGTCTGTTCACACACTTGTTCTTTTCACTTTGTACCAACGTGTGCAGGAGCAGATAAACAACTATATACTTCAACTTTCTGATGATGACACTGTTCTTAGTTTACTCAACAAAAACACTAAATGTTATTGTCTGTAAGAGAAACTGATGAAGTGGAGCTTTGTGTGAAGAACACAACACTGTGTGAAGTGTGGAAAAGATAAAAGATGAAAGAGTTTATCTTTGAGTCCAGATGTGTGAGGACCACAGCCCCGTTAATATCACAAAGAGAACACAGAGCAGGTGACGTGTTAGAAGGACTTATGTGTGAACTTTGACTATCAGCTCCAGTGGAGCATTTTGTACAGTTTATCTGCTCAAGAATGAGCCAATGTCTCTATTTGTCCAGACGGTTTAGGTCACATGATGTTTCACAACATGGATGGAGTCAGTTTTATGTTATGTTCATCATGGTTTAGTGACCAAAGTTAAATCACAGAGTTTTACCTGGACTAAAAAAGCAGGTCAAATAACGAGTGTGGCCCTGGTTCATTTGTGAGGAGACAGTTTGGAGACTCAGCAGGAGGAGCCCAGGGACCAACTCATGTTCTTCAGTCAGTTTGATGTCGTCAGGCAGAAGGTTCAGGGACCAAACTGTAAACTGAACAGATTCAAACATTCTTTTGTAATAAAAGTCAAAGGTTTAGGGAGTGTGCAGTTCTTTGTCTGTGGACAGAGACTTAAAGGTTTGGTTAGAGTTTCTCTCGTGCTCATATTTGGTTTCTTATTTATTTCTGTTGTGTGCTGGATGTTTGTGCGGTGCTTTTGTTGTTGTGTTGTTCTGTTTTTGTGTTAAAGCTGTGACCTCCTGTCCCAACACAAATATGTCTCATGGGAGATAATAAAAGATTCTTTTATTTTAACTCTTCACTGAATCGTCCAAACTGTCACAGCGTCTGTGCTCGTCTCACACGCTTCACTTTTCTCACTTTTGAAACTGTCACACAAACGTGTGTCTGAGTCTGTGAGGAAACTTCTGTAGGTCAATGTTTAGATCATATGTTTAAAGAGGAGTATTTGACTCTGTGGGTGTTAAAGAGGAGTATTTGACTCTGTGGGGTGTTAAAGAGGAGTATTTGACTCTGTGGGTGTTAAAGAGGAGTATTTGACTCTGTGGGGTGTTAAAGAGGAGTATTTGACTCTGTGGGGTGTTAAAGAGGAGTATTTGACTCTGTGGGGTGTTAAAGAGGAGTATTTGACTCTGTGGGGTGTTAAAGAGGAGTATTTGACTCTGTGGGGTGTTAAAGAGGAGTATTTGACTCTGTGGGGTGTTAAAGAGGAGTATTTGACTCTGTGGGTGTTAAAGAGGAGTATTTGACTCTGTGGGGTGTTAAAGAGGAGTATTTGACTCTGTGGGGTGTTAAAGAGGAGTATTTGACTCTGTGGGGTGTTAAAGAGGAGTATTTGACTCTGTGGGTGTTAAAGAGGAGTATTTGACTCTGTGGGTGTTAAAGAGGAGTATTTGACTCTGTGAGGTGTTAAAGAGGAGTATTTGACTCTGTGGGGTGTTAAAGAGGAGTATTTGACTCTGTGGGTGTTAAAGAGGAGTATTTGACTCTGTGGGTGTTAAAGAGGAGTATTTGACTCTGTGGGGTGTTAAAGAGGAGTATTTGACTCTGTGGGTGTTAAAGAGGAGTATTTGACTCTGTGGGGTGTTAAAGAGGAGTATTTGACTCTGTGGGGTGTTAAAGAGGAGTATTTTGACTCTGTGGGGTGTTAAAGAGGAGTATTTGACTCTGTGGGGTGTTAAAGAGGAGTATTTGACTCTGTGGGGTGTTAAAGAGGAGTATTTTGACTCTGTGGGGTGTTAAAGAGGAGTATTTGACTCTGTGGGGTGTTAAAGAGGAGTATTTGACTCTGTGGGGTGTTAAAGAGGAGTATTTGACTCTGTGGGGTGTTAAAGAGGAGTATTTGACTCTGTGGGTGTTAAAGAGGAGTATTTGACTCTGTGGGGTGTTAAAGAGGAGTATTTGACTCTGTGAGGTGTTAAAGAGGAGTATTTGACTCTGTGGGGTGTTAAAGAGGAGTATTTGACTCTGTGGGGTGTTAAAGAGGAGTATTTGACTCTGTGGGGTGTTAAAGAGGAGTATTTGACTCTGTGGGGGTGTTAAAGAGGAGTATTTGACTCTGTGGGGTGTTAAAGAGGAGTATTTGACTCTGTGGGTGTTAAAGAGGAGTATTTGACTCTGTGGGGTGTTAAAGAGGAGTATTTGACTCTGTGAGGTGTTAAAGAGGAGTATTTGACTCTGTGGGGTGTTAAAGAGGAGTATTTGACTCTGTGGGGTGTTAAAAGAGGAGTATTTGACTCTGTGGGTGTTAAAGAGGAGTATTTGACTCTGTGGGGTGTTAAAGAGGAGTATTTGACTCTGTGGGGTGTTAAAGAGGAGTATTTGACTCTGTGGGGTGTTAAAGAGGAGTATTTGACTCTGTGGGGTGTTAAAGAGGAGTATTTGACTCTGTGGGGTGTTAAAGAGGAGTATTTGACTCTGTGAGGTGTTAAAGAGGAGTATTTGACTCTGTGGGGTGTTAAAGAGGAGTATTTGACTCTGTGGGGTGTTAAAGAGGAGTATTTGACTCTGTGAGGTGTTAAAGAGGAGTATTTGACTCTGTGGGGTGTTAAAGAGGAGTATTTGACTCTGTGGGTGTTAAAGAGGAGTATTTGACTCTGTGGGGTGTTAAAGAGGAGTATTTGACTCTGTGGGGTGTTAAAGAGGAGTATTTGACTCTGTGGGTGTTAAAGAGGAGTATTTGACTCTGTGGGTGTTAAAGAGGAGTATTTGACTCTGTGGGTGTTAAAGAGAATCACTAGATGGAGGACTCTAAGATTCTTTCACAGTGACATCAGTTGTTGTATCAAATGTTCCGTTGGATTCAGAAGCTCTGAGTTGTGTTGGTTTTCACTGGGTTTGGTTGGTTTAAGTCGGGTTTGGTCGGTCTGCACCTGTCCTGTCTCCTGCGGTCACCTGACGGTCTGTGCAGGTGCAACCTCCGGTCCTGTCCCGACACTCAGAACCGTATCAAACCCTGACGTGGTCTGGGGCTTGTCTGGCCAAAACATCTACAGCAGCACATTCATCAGAGGAGAACAGGCTGGAGACACAAAGATACAAGAGATTTTCAAGATTTTATTGTCACTGTTGTAGAACAAAAACAAAATCACTTTTAGAGCATTAAACTCTGCAGAGTTTTAATGTAAAGTGCAACACCAAAAGTGTAAGAGCCCATCCCAGAATAATCCCATAAACCCCCATACAGAGGACCTGAGGATACAGACTGTTCTTCAGTCTGGTCCTTCTGGCTCGTGTGGACCTGAACCTTCTACCTGATGCTGTCCTCGATGAGCTTCATTTGGAGCTGAACGCTGTGGGTGACGTCACTCAGGACGTCCAGTGAGTCCACCAGCCGCTCCATCATCCAGAAGATCCAGCAGAGGATGGACGATCTGCAGCAGCTGAGGAAAGCCAAGCTCCAGCCCAGATGATGGGGCAGGTCTACAGAG